GGTGCCACAATGAAATGCCCCTACCGATTCCCACAATCACTTCAAAGGCTCCAGGGAAGGAAAGAAGAGGCCAGAATGTTCTCAGAGACAAGAGGCTGCCTGCTTTAATAGGATGGCAATGCAATGCTAAATCACAAGACATCGCAGGAGAAAGGAAAAATGACCGCGTGCACTTGAAGATCAAAAGCAGCCTGTTTCCTTTGAGCAGTGAGCTGTAGAACGGAGACAAGACCCACAGACAGAGCCAGGAAAGCGAAGCAAACACCAAGAGGCATCTAAGGATAGCACGAGGTCTGCGAATCAGAGACTGCTGCCTCCTGTGGGGCACAGCGGAGACAAACCTGGCAGGAAGTGTGGCATATGCTACAAGGGGGCAAAGCCAGGCTGGAGGGGAAGGCGGGGCAGTGAGAGGAGTCGGGCCCATGTCACTGCCCCAGCTCGACCGGGCAGGGAGCAGGAGCTAAGTCAGCGACAGCACATCTTACCTAGACAGACCTACTTTTTCCAGAGGAGCCACTTTGGAAAAAAAAGCAAATTATTTGAACCATCCCCATCCTTTCTTCCAGCACCCTTTGGATTCAAGAATTGGGCCCTCAGCGTGGACATTATAAACACCGTACGGGTGGAAGCTGTCTCCTCAACACTTAGAGCTGATCTGTCCACGGAGGAAACCTACACATCTGAATCGAGGCTTCAAGAATTGCTGGCACCAGACAGGATTAGACTCTGGAGTCCAAGCATCCTATCTTACCAGCACATATTTAGGCCATTTACTAGAAAGCAGGATATATCATACCCTTTTCAGTTGTTCTGGGAACAGCAGCTGGCTTTAGACAGCCCTGGGCCCTGGATTAGCTGCTGTCTGGGCTGTTTCCAGGCTGGTCTAGGAGAGGGCCTGAAGGTCTGACTATGAGCAAATGCTAGACAACATTCACATCTTTCATCCTTAAAACATTCAATGTTGATTAAAATAAAAAATCATACAGATCTATCTTTATTCCAAAGACAGAGGCTCAGAGTGAATAA